GTCTTCAATGAATGTTGTGCCAAGACCGTGAATCTTATGCGGTGTATGATCAACTGTATGTTTTTTCATCTATCTGTGGATTGTTCAATCGCAGAGTTTGCTCCAACAAAGCGATTGAATTGTGATCGACAAAAAGAGAATCACCTATTGTTTCCGAAGTAAAAATGGTCGGAAAATCTTTCTCAACACTCATACAAGAAATCGCTTGATATTGTATGATAAATTTAGTTAAATATCCAAGTACTTCAGCGATATTTTTTTCGAAAAAACTGTTTTTACTGTTTTTAGAATAGACCAAACCTTTACGCGGGAAAAATCGAATTGAAGAACTCTCGATTCGTGGAGCGGCGATATTGTATGGTTTGAATCCATGTGTTCCTATCACTTCTGGCATCATTCCGTTTAAACTACTATCCTTATTATAAAAGTAGAAACTCAGGAATGAAATTCGCCCGAGTCGAAATATCTCGAAACGCGTAGGGCGTAACGCGTAATTCCCGATTGGTCAACTCGAGCCGCCGAAATCAAATTCGGCGCACGCAGTGCGCAGTAGGTCTCGTCCTTATTATGAAAGTAGAAACTCAAGAATGAAGTTCGCCCGAGTCGAAATATCTCGAAGCACATAGGGTTAATTCCTCATTGATCAAGTCGAACTACCAAATTCAAATTTGGCGCGCGAAGTGCGCAGTAGGTCTCGTAAGGAATAAAGCGATGTGATTATATAAGATACATGGGCATATGTTGTCATACAATCACTGAGGGTTAGATCAACAAAAGTCGAGTGGAGAATTAAATAAAAAATTGTTCACAACATCTGATCAGAAAAACTCCAAAAAAATCCTATTTAACAATGAAAAATCCAACAAAGTGTACTAATGGCAATATTTTGCGCGAAATTGAAATTTGAAAAAAAAGTTCCTAACTTGAAGAACGTACTTAGACATTCTCAAGTTATGATACGAGACTGAAAATACCATAAGTTCATTAATTTTCCAGTCATCATAATAAAGAAATGAGCACGAGAAACAGCTCTCTGGAGGTTAATTTAATTTGCCTAGTGGTAGGATTAATCCCAGAGGATCACCTAGCGTGTAATCAAATTAGAAAGTCAATAAAAACATTCACGGGGGCAGAAACATTCCTCCACAGCTGCCAACTCCTTGGCCAGCCGTTTAAAACTCTTATGAATTAATTTGGAAGACTAGATTGCACAATCTAATTGATCAAACGGTTGTTCCACTTAGTTGTTTATAGTCTGAATTTTCAACAGGAAATCAGTTTAGTCTGAAATTCAGCATCGAAGATCACGTGTGTGCTGGTCGACTCCAGGAGTTAGTTCAAGAACCAGAAGTGGCCAGAACCAGAGTTACTCGATTCCGACACTTGGCCTGAGCGGTTGTTCTACCCGATTAAATCGACTACATTGCTGCAAAGTCAGAGCGAATTACGGTTGCCGTATAACCACGCCGAATGGCAACCTCATCCCCTCACTCTCTTTACTCTCCTCCAGCCCCTGCACCTCCTCCAGTGATACCGTCGTTTCTCTTCTCGATGCATTCACAAGCCAAAACCCACATTACTCTGTACTTCTAAGTTCTCAAGTACTTTGGAGTTTCTCTGTAAAAGGAGAGATACGGGAGACCCCCACCTTAAAGAAAATTCGAAAAATCGAATGCGTTACTCCAACATATTTAAATATAACTTCATGAGGTAAGCCAGCAGCCAGCAATATCACTGTGCTTTTTGCTTTTATCTGTCTGATAATAGGGCTTACCAGAATAGGAACATCAACCGTGAGGCTCAGTTTTTATCCTTACAAATAGTGAAATTTACTTGACGAGGCTGGGATACGAATCCAGTCCTCTGTGTGGTGTGCATGAGTTACTAACTCGACCGCGCTACCGACTTCGTCAATCTACACTCCACAATTGTGCAATTCCAAGTTTCATTCAAGTGCCGGAATGAAACAATTAGAATCTGTGCAATTTGCTCCGACGAAAATCAGTTGATATACCGATTTTACGAAGAGAATTGAAACTACAGAAAAATTACTAATAAATAAATTAAAAACTAATATTCATC